AAGCTGTTTATATCTCCATGGTCGCGGATCGCCACTACGGGCAGCCGCCATCTTGTCTACGAAGGCTCATGAAGGACAAACTGAGAATTTACTGTGCAAGCATTTTTTGGTACCACTTTAGGCTCCCCTTATAGAAAGCTTATAAAGAGTTTATAGATAGGTTAGTAATTCATTCACGAGCTCAATTAAAACTGAATCTGTGGAAGCTTGGCYGTACACTTCCTGCAGTTTGAGGGGTTTGAGAGAAAACTGTCTTCCTGATCAAGACACACTTTTTGATGTATATTTCCAATGAGTTTTTTAAGCTTCAGGTAAATATTGTATGCAAATGTAAAATGATGCTSTAATCAGAGCTAATTATATGTAGGCAGAGAGTTGACCCGTCTTTGGTCTCACGGTATCTGCCAGCATCAACCTGTTTTATTRTGAGTTATTACATTCTCTTAACGAGACCTTCAATTACCCTCTCAGGTATTTGGAGCCGTGTTAAAACACAGAGTACTTGATTCTGATTTTATATCCTGAGGAGGGTAATTACAGTMGGTGCCTCCAGATGAACAACAAGCAACAGGTTACAGAGAGGGAAMTCTGTCATTTCAGCTGTTTGTTCATGTCTCAAATGTACCTGAGTTCATTTAAAGGACAAACAGATTTACAACAAACTAATGTCATGCTGAGGGACAGAAAGTTGTGTTTCTGGTGTAATTTAAACCAAATTAGTGCTCCTTTTTACAGCGTTAAAGCTTTGCTGAGCTTCTACTTCGACATTAACATTAACCTACATTTTCCCACCAATTTACGCCTTCATGATTGTGACCAAAGCATCTCTTGAGTGAGGCAAAAAAAGACCCTGATGACCCTCAGGTGAGAGGGAAGTGAGAATAATCTGCAGGTGTATTTAGCTGTTTTGGGTCGTGGATGTGTTACTGCTCTTTTAAGTTTCTTCAGACYTTTTCTAGTAATTAATTAATTTGGTCCACAGGTACATGGGTCAATGTGGGCCACCGTTGTTGGGTCTGCGGCCCTGGAGGTCTCCCGTAGCCGAGCCGAAGGAAAACGGGGTGGACGACAGCCTCAGCGACCCCACCGTCAGTCCAGACGAACCCAAATCAGAACCCCTGCCGGTGACCCCGTCGCTCCTCCCTGTGGAGAACGGGCTGAGGAAGAACAGACTGTACCGGCAGCAGAGCCTCGTCATCCTCACAGGTAAAACAAACACAAACCCATCACAGTCGTGTCTGGTTCTGATGCTTTCATTCGTGCCTCTCTGCAGAACCAGAACATGATAAAGACCTGCCAATCTCCACGGTGAAGACCCAGGAGATTCTTCAGGGCCACGTGGTGCGGGAAAGTGCAGAGGGTCACGGCACCATTGAGTAAGTACCGATTCTCTGGCTGTGTCTCAATTCATGGGCCGGGTCCTCATGAGGACCCAGCCTATCTGGGCCACGTGGGTCACGTCCTTGCTGGGCTGGGTAGGCTGCTCAAAACTGCTGCGAAATGAGACGGTCTAGCCTTCGCCTGATGTCGGCTTCACATGGGTTTGCGTGACCACGTGCTCCCCGTTACCATAGTGATCAGTTTCATGTCGGACTTAAAATGCTGCGGGACGTGTTTACACGTCTTTTACTGGAAGAATAAATTCACAGTTAAAATGTTACACGTAAATAAATAGATAAACATTAATAATTCAGGTTCAGCTCCAGTATCCACAACGGCGTATTAGGGCCACACAGATTTTTATTATTATTATTATTATTATTATTACTATTACAAAAATAAAGTTATAATATTATGAGAATAAAGTTGTAATATTACGAGATAAAAAGTCATAATCTTACATGACATGTCCATTTTCCATTCATTTCCTCCTTTTGAGGATGTGTGTCCTTCTTCTTCTTCTTCTTCTTCTTCTTCTTCTTCTTCTTCTTCTTCTTCTTCTTCTTCTTCTTCTTCTTCT